TGGCAGGGATATGAATAAAAACAACAGATTTGAAGATATCATCATGAAATGCACAAATTTGAGATAGGTCTAATAGGTTTTACATTCATAAAAACATGGGTAATGTTTTTTAAATATTTAATAAAAAATTCATGAATGATTATCAACACATTACACATTCATGATTGCAAATTACCAATTTTTTTTCAACAGGATCATGCTTTTCTATCAATATGGAATACAACCATTTTAGAATTCTGACATGCAAAATTTGTTGTGAGTTTTTGCAAGACAAAGTTAATCAAAGAAAGCTTAGAAAGAACTCCCATGTGCTGAGAGTATTGGAGACACATTAAATATAATTCAAAATTACTTGTCAGAGATAGTGATAGTGATAGATAAGCCGAAAACTAATAATGCAAATCAGAAAATTAATATGAACAGATTTTAATGAAATACTAATGAGGTCTGCGCAATGTAACAGACCATCTATGTTTTATTGAAATGTGATTGGAACCCAACAAAATTATAAATTATTATACTAATTAGGGAATTAATATAAACAGATTTTAAGCCCAAACTAATCAGGTTTGTACATTGTCCTAGAGCATCTTTGCACTAAGTTTCATTGAAATGGAATAATTAGTACTTTAGATATCAGTGGTTAATTATGTAAATTAGTAATTAATATGTACAGATTTTAACCCACAATTATCCAGGTCTGTCTATTGTCCTACAGCAACCATGTACAAAGTTTCATTGAAATGTGATGATTAGTAATTGAGAAATCAGTGTGAAAGCTGAAAATTAATTAATTATGCAAATTAGGTAATTAATATACACAATTAATCACCCTAAAACTAATCAGGTCTCTGGATAGTCCTAAAGGATCTATGTACAAAGTTTCATTGAAATGTAATGCTTACTACTTGAAACATCAAAAGCTGAAAATTAATTAATTATGCAAATTAGAAAATTAATATGCACAAATATTTATCCCAAAACAATCAATCTCTGCATAGTCCTTGAGTATCTATGTACCAAGTTTCATTGAAATGTAATGCTTACTACTTGAAACATCAAAAGCTGAAAATTAATTAATTATGCAAATTAGGTAATTAATATGCACTGACATTACCCTAAAAACAATCAGGTCTGTGCAGTGTCCTATGACATCTATGTACCAAGTTTCATTGAAATGTGATGATTAGTACTTGAGATATCAGTGGAAAAACCGAAAATTGACTAATCATTATGCAAATTAGGTAATTTTTTCCAAAAACTAATCAAAACCAAGCATTAGTTCAGAACATCCATGTACCAAGTTTCATCAAAATCCAATAAGTGGTTCTTTAGATATCAATGGAACAGTCATGAAACAGCTAAAAATTAGATTATTATCATGCAAATTGATAATTAATATGCATGAAATTTTACCAAAACCTAATCAAATTTGCGGATTAGCCCAGAGCATCTATGCACCAAGTTTCATCAAAAACTGATGTATGGTTCTTGAGATATCAGTGGAACAGACAGACACATATACACACACATACACACACACATACATACACACTAACCGCAAAGACTCTCATTTTGTGCTTCGCACATGGGAGACAAAAATGCTCAGGGACAGAGTTTTTTATTATTATTATTTTCGTTTTTACCTAATTGAGAAAAAACTCTCATACATACAGTATACATATAAAATTCCAAACCTTGACATCTGGCCAAGCTCAAAGTTTAGAAATTCCCAACACTAACAATTATGCAAATTACTAATCTGCATGACTATGAACCCAAACTGTGGCTGATTACTAATATGCGTATGACAAAAACTGTGGCTGATTACTAATATGCATTTGACAAAAACTGTGGCTGATTACTAATATGCGTATGACAAAAATTGTGGCTGATTACTAATATGCATTTGACAAAAACTGTGGCTGATTACTAATATGCGTATGACAAAAACTGTGGCTGATTACTAATATGCATTTGACAAAAACTGTGGCTGATTACTAATATGCGTATGACAAAAACTGTGGCTGATTACTAATATGCATTTGACAAAAACTGTGGCTGATTACTAATATGCGTATGACAAAAACTGTGGCTGATTACTAATATGCAACTGACAAAAACTGTGGCTGATTACTAATATGCGTATGACAAAAACTGTGGCTGATTACTAATATGCATTTGACAA